TATGCTTGGACCGATCCAACAGTACCGAATTTAATGATAATTTGGATAGTACGAATTTTTTGTACCGAATGAACAAAACCAAACGGGTTTAAGTCATCGTACCATGGGAATTCTCCTGGATACAGATTTGTTTCTGGTTTTAGGTGTGGTATTGTTCGTGGCAAGTGTTTGTTTTGTTCAAAACTGGAGTAATTTACGTCTTGCAGAGAAAGATCACATTTTCCCATCCAAATGAGTTGATCTCAGTGACAGGAGCGAGGCATTTCACGTTTGAAGATTCGAAAAGCTAATAAACAGAAGAGCTCGAATAGAGGAACGCAGAGTTAAAAGTGCTCATGAATGTCAAAATCGATTAAGAGACTATGAAGATCAGAATATGGAGATCAGGATACTGAGTCTAAGTCCTATCAGGTTAGCTTTCGTGGGCTAATCATTGGTTTTACAAACCAATTTGCAAAACAGAATTCATTAGTAAGAAAAGGCAACCCTTTAATTACCCGACTACTCCACTAATCTATTTATATGACTTACCAATCATTTGTATTCACGGCATATGCAAAACTTGTCAGTGTTCTTTCCTCAAAAACTCATTCATTACAAAAGAAATAAAAGAGCAACTGATCATTGTTTGAGCTAAGTCTAAAATTGGTTTATCAAACATTAACAGAAGAAAATGAAGATTTGCGTTAAAAGCATAGATCCAGAGAAGAAGGACAATGAAACTCGCCTATCCATCAAATCAGTGTTTCATCGCAATCTTTTAGTACAAGAAAAGAGTATTCAAGTAGACTTCTTACTGCAGTTCATAGTAACTTCGAATCTACCACCAAGTTTTTCTCAAACAGAGAGTAAAAACTAGTGCTTAGTTCATAAGAGATGATTACTGACGATGCATATACCGAGCTAAGAAGATCTTCCCACTGGTTCAAGAGCTTCAACAGTGACAATGCTGTTTCCTCTAATCACCTACACCAAACCAAAACAAAAAAAAAGGTATATTTAGTTTAAACATCGACCGAGAGCAACACATGATTGATAAAGAGAAGATTCTCGTACACAATAAAGAGAGACTTACCACCATTCCAATGTCTGTTTTATCGTTACCGTTCACCTCCACAGTGTTATCAACAACAAGATTCATGAACTGGTCAAACCCGCGAAGAGTACCAACAACCATTCGGTTAGCATTAAGCTTGACTGCATTAACAAATATCAATTGATCAATCTCAAGACACATAACAAGGTTATAAACGAAAGCTACTACAACAAACCAACAATACGAGATTCTTTAAACCAGCTATGAAAGGTATAATCAGACCCGGTTTGGATGATTCACAGAATACATTATCGCAACAATTAGCAGATTAGAAAATTGGTATCACAAAAGGCGAATTATTCCCCAAAGATATGTGCGAATGTGCCAAGCAAATCACATCTCAGAGAAGATTTGAAACCGAAAATTCCTGAAATATATATAATAGACTTGAATGAAGATAACTGAACTTACTTTGGAGCTTCTTATCCATGTACCTGCATCCAACGAAACGATAAACAAGAGAAATCAGAAACACGA